CTTGAGGGCAAAAGGACTTGTTAATAAAGAAATTACAGGGACTTTTTTTTCCACGAATCCATGAAATTAGCAGACTAATAGTGCAGTTCTGGCGCAGGACTGAGTCGACACAAGCACCTCTTCAAAACAAATTAGGGTTGAGTGAGAAACATAAGCATCTATCTAAACATATCTGAGTATAATGTGCTGCGAAATGGCTTTGAGTCAGAATGGAACTGGGCCAAAGTGAAGCATAGAAAAAAGGAAAAAGAAGTTTCAACTTGTCAGAATTAGAACCGCATAAAAAGCTGTGAATTTGCGCTCTTTATGGGAAGTCTAAGTGCTAAAAAAAATGGAAAATTTCAACTGAAAGTGTCATTCTTTATAGACGCGGAGAAAAAGAAGTGATTAAAAGTGTTTTCAGCACACCGGCAGCGGAGCGTTTGCCAGGATAGACGAATGCGAGGTGAGGAGCTGATAGGAGGGGCGGAGCGGCAGTCAGGGCCCGTGCCAGCTGCTCTGTTCTCACGTGGAATCGCTGTAATTAATCTGGACACTTGGCTGCTGGGTGGCATCATCAATAACACTCATATATATGTGTGTGTGTGCGTGGGCATGCAGGTGCCTTTTATCAGCCATGACACATCCACACCCTTTTTTACTGCATGTTGCCCTTGAGGTGGCCGTTTGGATTAGTGTCAAAGTTGCACCCATCCAGCACGCGTAACTCAAAGCAGTTGTTTGTTTTAATTATTTAAAACGATTTGTGAATGCATACTCCATAATGAGTTATTCGGTGTGATATTTTTCACATAAAAAGGCTCATTTTTTTGTGTGTCAGATGTCATTGATCTCTGCAGGGCTGCTTATTAAAAATACATTTATGCCTTTTGAGGGCCGCAGGGGKCTGTAGACCCGGGCCCGCATGGCACGTGGGGCACACGGCTGATAAAAACAAAAACGCCTCCCGGATTTGTAACGACTCCTTCTCGCGTCGAACTTCAGCGTAGCCGCTCGCATCATCTGAGCTAATACGAATAAAGGGAGTTCACATTTCACCTGACCTGCGTGACCGTGAGCAGCCGAGGTGCAGGAAAGGGGAAACGATCGCACTGATGGGACTCCATCCAGCAAACAGAGGAAGATTAGCATTCATGCAGCATTGTGAGCTTTGGTCAACTACCTCATGAAAGTCTGATACCCTTCCTTGTTGAGGCTCCTTTTGGTTTTTTTATTTATTTTTTTGTTTTACACCCACCACCGCTCACAGAAACATCTGGTCCCTAAGCTGTCAGAGGTTACTCTTCTGTCATAGCTGCTCACCTCGTCTGTCTGCGGTCTGCTGATGATGATTGATGCCATGATTCACCAGAGCAGCTTTTCTGTCGCGGACAGCTGCCTGCATACCTAAACAGCAGAGATGTGAAAGCTGTAAATCAAAAACAATGAGCCGAAAGACACTAAAACAGGTGGAGGGTTGCAAGAGAGCAAACTCTTTCACACAACACAGTTCGGAACTGGAGTTTAATTTTTTCAACTACAGCACACCGACAAATGTAACAGCTGCAGTGGTAGCAAAATATCTAATGAACTGGTGGACGGATGTTAATAAAACTCTCAGATTATAAACATTTGACTTACATCTACAACTGAATAGCTTTTGAAGTCAAAAGCTATAACTTGGTCAATATATTAAGCTCAAACGTGACATGTTAGCATAGCTTTGCTAACATGGAGTTTGATGTCTGTTAGCACAATATCTCTTAAAACACTCAATGAATTTGAATGAAATTTTTAGAAAGCAATCAATAGGTGTGCATCAATGACTGAATAACATTTAGTGACAACACAATTCAAGACAAATGCCACAGCCAACATAACTTAAAAAACATAACAATGGCTCTAACTCAGCCAATTTTACAGATTATTAGCTAAAATTTGGTGTAGTACCTAAGAAACATTCATAACATATTTAAAAACATCTAATGTGAATTTTTTAAAAATCTTTGTAAAAAACGATTAAGAATTAGTGATGTCTGTTAGCAAATAATCTCATGAGCCACTGGACAGATTTTAGTGAAGCTCTCAGAATATAATCACTGGATGTGTGTCAACAACTGATTAAACTTTGGAGTCAAGTCAGCTCAAGATGGCCACCACAGCTAGTCAACTTAATCAAACATAAAAATAGTTCAGGCCATCCATTTTTTTTCAGATATTGAGCTAAATTTTGGTGTGATAGCTGCTGAGAGTCAGCTTCAACACATAGTTTGAGAACTAAGATGCCATTTATAAATTTGACCAAAAAGGCTATAACTCCAAACATCTCATTACATCAGAAGATGATGCTCAGCTCAGGCTTAAAAAGCGGCTAGTGATACTCATTCAATTTCTTTCTACAAATGCTGGACATTTAATTACAATTTAATTTTAACAGTATATGATAAAGCCACTTAACTTTCTTAAAGCAAACTCACTTGTCACAGTTTTTCTTTGTCAATTTCAACCACTGAAGTGAGCGTTTCAGCGCCGTACCACTGAAGAGTTTCATCCTTTTTATTTTTTATTTTATTTTATTTTATTTTTTTCATTCAACTACTTTGAAGATGCTTTCATGCAAACCATCAAAAAGCAGAACCTCTCACCTGTGGCCCCTCTTGGAGCTGTCTCTGTCCAAGGTAGGATTTTAAATAGGGACTGYGCTTCACCATCACTGACGATTTCCACACATCGCTTCTTGTCGATTTCTGAGCGTCACGGCTGCGAAATATCTGAGCTGTGGCTACGGTGGGTTTTCATTGTGCCACGGTGGTATGCAAATGTTTGGTCACACATTATCAGCATTTATGATTCTCTGAAATGAAAAGCTGTTGAAAAAATTATCTGATTCATTTTTTGTTTGATTTTTCTATTATTGGTATAGTGCTGCTTTAGCAGCTTTAAAAAAATAAATGTAATCAGAATATACACAAAAAATATATACATATGGTAATTACACTATAATAAAACACATTCTAACAACTACTTTAATGATGTGGGTTTTTTTAGAAGAATTAAAAAAATATTCCATGAAGAAATGCAAAGCATTTTGCACGCAAAGTTTTAAACACATATCTTCAGAATTAAGACTCAGACTATGTGTTGAGGATGACTCTAATACCACAAAAATATCAATGTCTAAAAGGTTGACTGAGTTATAGTCATTTTTGTGTTTGCTAAAGTTGCTTAGCTGTGGCTAGTGTGTAGTAATCAAGACCAGTCTTGGTCTTCCGACTGGTCTTAAGACCATTTGCACTTGTCTCTGACATGAGGACTCAAGATTTTATTTCAAGATCAGTCAAGGCCACAACTGTGGAAAATATCACAGCATTTCCAGAATGTTGTCCAGTTTATTTGTTAACATTCTTGCTTTCATTGGTTGTAAATCATACCGATTCAAATCCAAGCCTGACTCTTTGATAATTATGTATTTTTGTTACCACTGCCAGCCCTCCCCCTTTCACTCACACATGGCACTCCAAGAAAGTGAGCAGATTGGGAGTGGGAGAAKATGTCTTCAAAATCTTTAGTAATACAATTTGGCTACACAAATCATAAAGAATATATTAKTAAAACAACATCTCAGAGAAAGCGTACCCATATCATCACTTAGAAAATAGGCACATGTGATGTTAGCAAACTTTGTTAGCTAACATTAGCAGTCTGCCTCTGTACAAAAATTCTTTGCCCAGCCCTGACACAAAAAGATTTAGTCAATATTAGCTGTATGYATTAAGTTAGCGACATGTGTGTATGTTTTAGGGCAGTGCTTCTCAAACTGGGGTCCCAGGACCCCCAGGCGTCCGCGAGCCATGTCTTGGGGGTCCTTAAAAATTTTAAACAAATTGTTAATTGGTTTTTATTTTATAAAATTCATATTAGTAATACACAAGTAAAACAAACATACTAAAACAATCCAAATCAATTCAGTTTRTTTACATAGCACCAAGTCACAACATAGGTTGTCTCAGGGCACTGTACATAAGAAAACCACAATCTAAAGAAGAAACCAGCAGATTGTGTTGAATCACTTCATCACAGTCACCCAAAACAAACAAATAATACTATCACCATGACATTTAGGGGTTAAAATAACAGTAGATTATTTTGCATTAACAGCATGGGGTTTATGAGGGGGTCCCTGGAATTTTACCACCCTTGTCAGAGGTCCCCAGACCCTGTTTTAGGGTACTAGTTTCTGTAATACTTTGTTGTTTATTTGTTTGTTTGTTTGTTTGTTTTATTTAATTGATTTATTTTTTGGGGTGGAGGTTGGTCTTGGTCTTGTCTTAGTCAGGATACACTCTGGTCTTGACAGTCTTGGGTTAAGTGGTCTTGACCACAACACTAGTGGCAACCACTTTGAATGGAACTGACTATAAACGCTAATCAGTTGTAAGTAATGTTTTTGTGATGTTTTTAATTTATGGATTTTATTGTGAAGCACTTTGTGATTTTATAAGGTAAAAATAAAAAAATTAAAAATAAATAAACTTTACTTACTTACTTACTTACTTACTTACTTACTTACTTACTTACTTACTTACTTACTTACTTACCTACCT